TGTATCATGATAGCATTCATGACTAACTCATAGCTAGTGTACTCCAAAGACCTCTGTTAACTATGGTTACTTGTAAGAAAGTTAATTTAGGACACTTTGATGAATACAGGTGAATATATTGGAAAGCACTGATATTCCTTGGAAGAATGAAAGATGCAGGCTAGACATACTTCAAAGAAATAGGACAAGAAAACATGGCAGTGTCAAGTCTAGAGTGACAGAGGCAATATGGCAGTGTCACTTCAATGATGTAGGCTGAGAACAATAAGTCATAAAATATGGGCTACTAGATAAAGATTTCAAATAAGTAAAATAATTCTAAAGACACAGGGTAAAGAGAAACCAAAGATAAGTCATTACTTTCACTCTTCAGACTGCAGAGACCTAAACACAAATGACAATGCCTCACTTCCCCCAAACCATGTGACACTTATTTAGTCTGTGGGAAAATCTGCATGATTCATTATCATAAAAAAAATCTTTCACTAGAACTCAACTGTATATTTTTAAATTCATACCTAAATTTTCTAATATATATATTGACTATGTGGAATACCTTAAACTCATAGTGCAATAATTTGGAAAATGTTTCTTCCTCTCAAGATGAGATGACTCATCGAACTCCTGCTGTTTCTGGGGATATTTAAGAAGGGGCACTATCTTAGTTCTTACCATGCTACATCCTTTTCAGAATCAACACAGACCCCTATTCAAATAAAGATGAATTGAAAGATGATGAGATGAGTATGAAGAGAATTACTATTGGAGAAAAGTTGCATTCATAGTCCAAAATTGTTTGATGAAGCGTCTTTAGCTGAATCAGGCATACGTACATACATACACAAATACATACACACATACATAAAACAAATGAAGAGGGTGTGAAGGGAGGAATTAGGAAAAGAAATTATGCTTTTCTCCATGTTATCTTACCCTTTTCATTTATTTTTTGAAACCATATAAATAAATTGAACAATGTATTTATTTTACAGTCTTTGACTAAAGTATATGTATCTGGTTGAAGGGAAAATCTACCAAATGATACCAGCGAGGAGATATTTTTCTATTATAATTATAAATGCCAGTTGTCATAAATAAACAAACCAAGTATTCAAGTAAGCAAACAAACCAAAACAAATGACTTAAGAACTTCAATTCAAAACAAACTTTGTTTTCTGGGGTAGGGGGTCAAGAAATGCAGTTTATAAGATAGCTCATCATAAAAGAACATCTTTCTATGTTTATCTTATTAATCTTCCTCCCTATATAGGTATAGCTATATATAGTCAAGTATTATTCTTGTTGTCATGGTGCTTTTATTAGAGGGAAGAAAACTAACATATGGTTATATCTGAGGTTTAGGTGTGGTTAAAAAAAAAAGAATATTTCATAACTGTACTGAGTAATATAATATGGCTCAGTTATTGACTTCCATTATACTGATAATCTGAAGATTATAAAAACATGGTAGATGCTTAGATAACATGTCAAAAATAATAAACATGTACATTACTGTAAAATTAATTATTTGAGTATTTTGTCATTGAGAATTAGGCAGTATCTGAAATGACACAGGTAGCTATGCTGTGAACACAACACAGACTCTAGGAAGAAGAGAGGGCATTTGACAGACTTAATAGGACATGGGGAAAGTATGTTGCTAATAAATCAATTTATATATGTCTATATTCATACAAATAGGTTAAAAAATTAAGGTCAGGAATCATTAGCTCCTATTAGAAAAAAACATAATATTGTAAATTGATTGCTGATGCAATGATTTAAAAAAAGGATGAAAATTAGAAATTATTTCAAGACTAGGGGATTCAGGTCCTCTTGAGAGAGGCAAAATGACTTGCCCAAAGTGACACAAAGAAATGGTGGGTAGACATGTGATTCAAACACTCTGTGATTCACAGAGTAAAGGACCACATAAAATGTCAATAGTTTTCATAATTGCTTCATTTTTGACTACATCATTCATGGCTGGTAGACCAAGCTCAGAAATAGAAGTTTCTATTTAATGTGGTCAACCCTACTGCATTATATATATCAATTCAGATTGATCTTTAAGGTCTTTCATCACAACATGTATAAATGCTCTGTAACTTGATGAAATAGGACTTATCTCATTTTCTACCTTTGCTACCAACTAGTGCTGAGGTTCTTCTCAGTCACTTATTCTCTCTGGGTTTCATCTTTCCCATCACTAAAAGGAGTAGTTTATATTAGGTAGTTAATGAGGACCTTCCCAGGTAAACATTCCATTTTTTTTTTTTTAATTACCTTTTCAAGCAGAAAATTTTCCACACACATAAGGCTGCACTATCTGTGAAAATCCCTAACTGGGAAGAAATTTTCCTAAATATGCCAGTAGAACAACTTTTGATGGAATTTCTACTGGAACCAGTCACCATGCATTGATTATAGACATCATCAAAATGAATTTCGAGCTTAGTCTCATATCATTCAATATGGTGCAAAATATTTTCCTAAATCAGCTTTCTATTATACTTCTAGGACTGTGGTAAATTTCATAAGGTATGTAATATTTCAAAGAATCACTTTTGAAGTTTGAGACCACTCTGGATCAAAACACATATTATTATTTGATTAATTGTTCACTACTGAAGATTTTGCTGATATAAAATTTGTGCTTCTAACACATAAAAAGAGTTTATTTTCTCCTCTCTCAAACTTCCTAAATATGAAGAGTTTTCTTATATAGGATATTTTTAAACAAAATATCATTACATTTTTTGGCCTGGAAAAGAATGCTAAAGCATCCTTGGCAAGATGTGGGGAGAAAGATGGATAAACTACACAAACTTCAGGGACATTATACCCTTTAAGGAGCATATTTTTAAAAAATGGAGCAACTATTTTCTGGGAGAAAATTCAATAGAAAATTATCCTTTGTCCCCACCTCTCTGCCACATCTCCAGCAAAAGACTCAATTCTTAGCATCAGTATCTTCAATCATTTTGTGGTGCTGCTAATCACCTTGAAACTAAATGCTTCTTGAGAACATCCAGATGCCCAGAATGACTTCATTCCTCACTAATGGAGGCAACCTCAGCTTTATTTTCAAGTGGGTTTGTTGAGCTGATCGCATCTCTCTCTAAATTGCAGCAAAATGATAATTGGAGTACAAATATCTATTTCCCCGTAAAAGTGAAATTGAAATTGCGTACCTTGATTTAAAGCTGTCGGGTGGCATGAGTTCCAAAGTGTGAGTTGGTCCATATAGGTTTACAACATATAATTTTATTGTTGGGTTCACTTGACCTGCCTTTGAGAAATTGAGAGTTGTCATGCAAGTATATTAAGCACTAGAATATACTGAGAAAAAATAAAAGGCATTTTGATTCATTCACTTTTTTGTCAGAGTAAAACATTGTTTAATTTCTATGTAGTAGAAATGATTTCAAATTCGACAACTTGATTGCTTTTAATTGTTTTTGCAGATTGCTGCTTCACAAACATTTTAGTTAGACAATTAAAGGTGATAGGAAATCATGAAGGCTTTGCTCATTAGGAGTGCTACTGTTCTTTCCCTGGAATGGCACCATAAGAGCTGGCTGTACAAAACAACTAGAAGATCAAGCAGCTACTCCTCACATTATAAGATACGTAATGAAATAGAAAGAAGGTTTGTCTAATTAAAAAGAAAAAAAGAAGAAAAAAAAAAAGAAAAAAGAAAGAATCTAATTAATACAGGTATCACATGTTTAAAATCTCACAAAACCTAAGTATTCCACTGCATTAATCTCTTGGCTTTTCTTTTATACTTTACTGGTTACTAAATGGTGTGAATCATTTGTATAATTGACTCTTGAGAGGCAGGCCATGGGCAAACTGCCCTCACTGAGTACCTGCCATAAGGATTAGAAAGGCAGAGGTAAGGATAGGTAATTTAAGTTTAGTGAATCAAAATTTTATTAAATAAATAATAACTAGCATGTATAGTAGTTGGTATGTTTCTGGTGCAAAGTGTGTGCTAAAGGCATTATATGAATTATATCATTAAATGTCCTTAGTACAGTCCTAATATATGATTATAATGATTTTCCAGTTGAAGATGGAAAAGCCAAGCAAGCCGTGCAAGGTGAAACATCTACTAACCAAGGGAGCTGCTGTTTATACCCGTGATGATCATAACCGCAACCTTGCAGCTGTGCTTTCAGTTCATGACCAGGAAAGGGCCTACAAGTTTTTCTAAATATACTGTGAGCAATCAAGAAGCAGGAATGGGAACTTTCACCAACATGTTTCAAGCAGTTTCAATAAATGAATGGAAGAATGTTCACATGAATAAATGATGTATTGAATCAGTTGATTATTTGTTTCTAAACAATGCTCCATTAACCTTGTGCTATGGCTGATGATTTAAGAGAAGACTATATGAGATATACTTGTACAGAGGAGGAGAAGGAAATTAAAAGTGAGTTGAATTAAAAGACCTGACAAAATTCTAAAGAGAATGATAAAACTGACTTAAAGATGACAAATAAAGATTCATTTTCAAGGAACTGGTATTGACAAAACTCAGAGTTAAATCAGGACCAGAGCAACATAAATACATCTTACCAATCAGTAAGAGCTCCTCAAGGACTGCTTTGTTACTTTATTAAGAGAGACTAGCACATCTGTGGGAGTGTGTCATACAGATTAGAAGTTTTGAGCCAAAAGAGAGGAGTCAGGAAAGGCTTTCACTATCAAAACGAGGTAACTATTAAGAGAGAATGTAGAAAGTTCTCAATAAAGAACTTCCTGGTAAATAAGCTACATGCCTGCCTCACACCAAAGGCTCTGGGCTCAGATTTTTGTAAAGCTTTTCATTGCTCCCAAACCCTCCAGTGCCTGGGCACATTTGTCAGGCAATGTAGCCTTCTACCACTCTCATGAGCTCCCTTTTACATCATTCTTGTTTTAATTTAGTTGCCATGTTCCTCCCTGAAAATATTGTCTTTATTCATTTAATTTTTAGTCTGATTGTTTCTCTAGCTGATTCAGGTATGTTAAGATTTAGAAATGGAAGTGGTATTTAACAGTGGCATTCAAAGTGTTCTTGGACCAGTAGCATCAATCAGCACCACTTGGAACCTTAGAAAGAAATTCATGGGTCCCACCTCAGACCTATATTCATACAAAGACTCAGAATATCTAGGTGTGGGACTACAAAGCTAGTTTTAACAAGATTCCCAGGTAATTAGTGTGCAAGTTTTGACAAAACCTGGATCTACAGCTATATCTATCACCCACCCATTCTTCCATCCATTTCTCTCTCTCTCTCTCACATCACAGCTCAGTGGGTGCCAAAAGTCAGCCCTCATGAGAATCATTTTGAGGGCCTAGAGGGTTTTTGTTAAATCACTGATTGCTGAAGCCTACCTTCAGCATGAAGTTGATACCCCTGGTGCTGGTGAAAGGACCATATTTTGAGAACTGATTTAGCTTAATTTGTGAGTCAGAGAAATTAGTCCAAATTGTGACTCTCTTATTTACTTGACATTGAACAGGAACAGATTCTAAGGATCCTCAAGTGTTACTTTATTTAATTATCAAAAGTGAGACAAACACCTCCCACAAGTCAGAATTAAGTCAAAGAAGGTATTTTTTTCTGTAAATAAAAATATGTCATAGTTTTATTATATGGACAACAAAAAAGATGATTTATATGAAGTGCTTAATTGTTAATTAATTAGTTAGTACAGTAGTGAATTAAAAATGGAAGCGTTGCTAAGACACTAAATCTTTTCTAGTTAGTGAAATGCTGTGCTTTTATTTTCTATGATTCAATTCACTGAATAAAGCAAAATTGAGATTAAATTAAATTTGATTTTTCTGTGAACTCTTACTGATGGAGTTTGGATGTGTCGTCCCCTCCAAAACTCATGTGGAAATTTGATCCTGAATGTGGCAGTGTTAGAAACTGATTTTGAGTCATGGGGGCAGATCCCTCATGAATGGATTAATGCTCTCCCTGGGTGGGAGGATTAATGAGTGAGTTCTCACTCTATTAGTTCCTGTGAGAGCTGGTTGTTTAAAAGACCCTGGCACCTCCCCCCCTTCCTTCCTCTCACCATGTGATCTGTTTGTGCCAGCTGCCTGCCACTTTCCTCCATGAATAGAAGCAGCCTGAGGCCCATACCAGATGTAGCTGCCCCAGAATCATAAGCCAAATAAACCTCTGTTCTTTATAAATTACCCAGTCTCGGGTATTTCTGTTATAGCAACACAAAATGGTCGAATACAGAAAATTGATACTGAGGAGTGGGGTGTTGCTATACAGATACCTGAAAATGTGTATGCAGCTTTGGAACTGGGTGATGGGCAAAGGCTGTAGGAGTTTGGAGGTCTTACAAGAAGACAAAAAGATGAGGGAAATTTTGGACCATTTTAGAGATTGGTTAAATGGTTGTGACCAGAATGTTGATAGTAATGTGGACAGTAAACGTCATGCTGATGATGAGGTCTCAGATAGAAATGAGGAACTTATTGGGAATTGGACAAAATATAACACTTGCTAGACCATAGCAAGGAATTTGGCTGCATTGTGTTCATGCCCTAGGACTTTGTGGAAGGAGAGACTTAAGAGTTGTAGACCAGAATGTTTGGCAGAAGAAATTTCCAAACAACAAAGCATTAAGGAAGCTGCATGGTTACGTTTAGCAGCCTACTCTGAGTTATGGCAGCAAAGGCATGATGTAAAGCCAGAATTTAAGAGAAAGCAGAGTGTAAAGATTTGGAAAATTTGCAGCCTGACCATGTGGTAGAGAAGTGGAGAGCAGAAGAAAAACACAAGGGTAAAGCTGATAAACCATTTGCTAAAGACATTAGTTTGGTGATGAGACAGCCAGATGCTAATAGTCAGGACACTGGGGAAAAAGCCCTAAAGGCATTTGAGAAGTCTCGAAGGGTGCCCCACCCATCACAGACCCTGAGGCCTAGAAAGACTGAGTTGTCCAGGAGTAGAGATCTGGGGCCCAGCTGCCCTTGGGAACCTGCTTCCTGCATCCCAGTTGCTCTGGCTGGAGCAGCCCTGCCTCAAGCGGCACCAAGTGTGGTTTGTGCAGCAGCTCTGGAGAGTAGAAGCCTGAAACCTCAGTGGCATCCATGTCATGTTAAGACTGCAGGTCAGCAGGACTTGAGAGTAGTGGAGGCACAGCAGCCTCCACCCAGATTCCAGAGGATGTATGGAAAAGCCTGGAGGCCCAGGCAGAGACCT